GGGATACGTGTGGATATTATTTGTTAGTTAATGTTATCATGCAGAGAAGGATTAAGGAAATAACATTACCAACTTTAAAAAGAGAGAGAAAAGACATAACCTTCAAGTGCATAGGCATTAAAAAGAAACGAAGAATGCTTTAGCCTGCTTCTGGGGGAACAATACTTCAATTCATTTATACATATGAAAATGAAGATGAAAAAAAAAAAAAATGACAACAGCAGTGAACAGCTGGCGTTACTAATAGTTGCATTGATTGGTACTTAAAAAAATGGCAGGGCGTTGCGTGTTTATGGTTTAATTCGCTTCAGTGATGATTCCCCTTATAACGGAAAAAATACATGTCAATTCTGAACTTAAATTGCAGCATGAATTATGAAGGGCCATTGTTAAGGATTTAAAAAAAATGGTAAAACTGGTACAAAGTAACAAAAATATCCTGTTACAACACATAAAGCCCAGCCAAGTCTAGATAACACTGACAATAAAGTAACAAAAAAGAAAGCCAGGCTTCCTCTTCCGCCCGAGGCATGATATAGGAAAAAACGAAAGAAAAGCACGTCACCTCTTGGCGTAACTAAAGTTATGAATGGGCAATAAAAGAAAAAAATATTGCCTTATGTGCGTTTCAAAACCGATCACGATAAGTCCTGTATTTTTTTACTGGTGGTAAAGCAGGACAGAGCACTCGCCTTCACAAGCTTTCTACGGCGTGTGAAGGAGAAAAGAGAAAAGCCGTGATTTAAAAGCAAGCACGGTTTAGGCGGTTATACTGTAATAAAAAGCAGTACAACTTTCTCCGGGAGCTTCAGACTTCAAGCCTTGAATTTTATGAATGGTTTCAATGTCTATAGAAAGATTTCGTTCACAGGTCGTACACGAAGCGTGATGACCTTCAATGTGAATTGTTCCTTTGTATCACGCCCAATAAATATGAGCCGCCATTTGTTGACTTTTCCGATATTTGTTTAGTTTTATAACTAAGCGCTGTGATCCCTATAATACAGGTTAGGTCGCTCTATATCACGGAGTTTAACAAACTCTGCTGAATTTTACTCAATGGGAGTCAATTCAACAAAGAGGAGGGGCTACAAATGGGGTCCTGCGGTAGGGTCCACGAATTTTTTCACGATAATGCAGCGTAAACTAAAGGGACCCTTTTTCAGTGTAAGACGGCCGTGTTAGGTTTAATCACAACTTGACTATCCCTTTATTAGAGTAGATGTACACAGCTAGATGGATAAAGTTTCTGAAGCGAAAATAAAAGTGTTAACATAAACTGATCGCTCAATTACGTCACGTAGTGTATTTCCGGCTTATAAGACATTTTTGGTATTTAAAACTTTGAATTGAATATGGCCCTGTCACCAGTGAAAGAAAACCACTTTCGACCCGTGTTTTGTGATGAAGGAAATTCATCACAGACATACGCTGTACATAAATATTCAGCGGGGGCGTTTGCTCAGTTTTTTATTCAAAATAGGGGAATTTTATGCACCGCTAAAAGTTTTTTGTACGGAAGGTGTGTTTATTTACATGTATCCTGATAGACGGTTGGTTTACTGATAGGCTGGGAGAGGGGCATAGTAAGAAGAAACAAACAGATTTGTGGATAAACAAAAAGCTGGAGAGACAGCAAGGTATCGTAAACGATCAAGTGTACTTTTAGGGCCAAATTTACCGTCACATTGGGTCTCAAGTCCATGTCTAAATCAAGCACCGTTTCCCCCTCGAGCGGTAAACTTTAGTACAGAGGGTTTGTATCAGTTCACCGTTAAATGCCTTTAGGCGGTTTTACGCTAGAAGGGGTGAAGGGGGGGGGGGGGGGGGG